AGTAGTTACAGAGCCCAACCCTGGACACATTTACTCTAACCAACTGAGCTACCTCCCTGTCAACAGTAGTTACAGAGCCCAACCCTGGACACATTTACTCTAACCAACTGAGCTACCTCCCTGTCAACAGTAGTTACAGAGCCCAACCCTGGACACATTTACTCTAACCAACTGAGCTACCTCCCTGTCAACAGTAGTTACAGAGCCCAACCCTGGACACATTTACTCTAACCAACTGAGCTACCTCCCTGTCAACAGTAGTTACAGAGCCCAACCCTGGACACATTTACTCTAACCAACTGAGCTACCTCCCTGTCAACAGTAGTTACAGAGCCCAACCCTGGACACATTTACTCTAACCAACTGAGCTACCTCCCTGTCAACAGTAGTTACAGAGCCCAACCCTGGACACATTTACTCTAACCAACTGAGCTACCTCCCTGTCAACAGTAGTTACAGAGCCCAACCCTGGACACATTTACTCTAACCAACTGAGCTACCTCCCTGTCAACAGTAGTTACAGAGCCCAACCCTGGACACATTTACTCTAACCAACTGAGCTACCTCCCTGTCAACAGTAGTTACAGAGCCCAACCCTGGACACATTTACTCTAACCAACTGAGCTACCTCCCTGTCAACAGTAGTTACAGAGCCCAACCCTGGACACATTTACTCTAACCAACTGAGCTACCTCCCTGTCAACAGTAGTTACAGAGCCCAACCCTGGACACATTTACTCTAACCAACTGAGCTACCTCCCTGTCAACAGTAGTTACAGAGCCCAACCCTGGACACATTTACTCTAACCAACTGAGCTACCTCCCTGTCAACAGTAGTTACAGAGCCCAACCCTGGACACATTTACTCTAACCAACTGAGCTACCTCCCTGTCAACAGTAGTTACAGAGCCCAACCCTGGACACATTTACTCTAACCAACTGAGCTACCTCCCTGTCAACAGTAGTTACAGAGCCCAACCCTGGACACATTTACTCTAACCAACTGAGCTACCTCCCTGTCAACAGTAGTTACAGAGCCCAACCCTGGACACATTTACTCTAACCAACTGAGCTACCTCCCTGTCAACAGTAGTTACAGAGCCCAACCCTGGACACATTTACTCTAACCAACTGAGCTACCTCCCTGTCAACAGTAGTTACAGAGCCCAACCCTGGACACATTTACTCTAACCAACTGAGCTACCTCCCTGTCAACAGTAGTTACAGAGCCCAACCCTGGACACATTTACTCTAACCAACTGAGCTACCTCCCTGTCAACAGTAGTTACAGAGCCCAACCCTGGACACATTTACTCTAACCAACTGAGCTACCTCCCTGTCAACAGTAGTTACAGAGCCCAACCCTGGACACATTTACTCTAACCAACTGAGCTACCTCCCTGTCAACAGTAGTTACAGAGCCCAACCCTGGACACATTTACTCTAACCAACTGAGCTACCTCCCTGTCAACAGTAGTTACAGAGCCCAACCCTGGACACATTTACTCTAACCAACTGAGCTACCTCCCTATCAACAGTAGTTACAGAGCCCAACCCTGGACACATTTACTCTAACCAACTGAGCTACCTCCCTGTCAACAGTAGTTACAGAGCCCCGGTATACAGGGGCCTGTTCGTTTATGTGAAACAACAGTTTTATGTGTTTACAAATATAACATTTTCGGGTATAAATCCTTGCAGACCTTTAAATGTTATGCAGGCCTTGCAAGGCTTTGTCAAGGCTCCCCTGAAAGCAGCATCAGATTTCTTTGTCCGACCTTATTTCATAAACGTGCATTTCTGGTCCAACCGGTTCAACTGTTTGGATCGCGATAAACGAAAGCGGCCCTCAGGTTACCGCAGGTACATGTATATCCAAAATAAAATTAAGGGGAAATAACTGTGCGCAGGAAATGTTACAGTGGCATTCTCTAGTGTTTGCCCTACAGGGGGATAAGGATCCTTAACTCATTCACCCCTGAAATTTCATAATGAACTATTCCAAACTTTGAATTGGAGGAGCTCAAATGTGTCTTAAGGGGTGAATGAGTTAAATCCTGCATCAGAACAATCCTATAAATCTGATAGGGAGCCAGTTACTCGTGTACTCTACTGTGTACTAACTTGTACCCGATTCAATAGGTAACCAGCTAGGCTTGTCCAAGCAAAATCACCTATCATTTTAATGATCTTGTGACAATGACTTCAAATTTGACCTATGATGTCAATGTTACCTTTTTACATGTAAGATTACCGATACTTTTATCCTCAACCATGCGGCCATTGAGTATAAATAAAGTACAGTGCTTACATAGGTCTAGTAAACGCTTACCATACTCGTTATTTACAGGGTCCTTAGATGACCTTTGTCTAGGTACATTGATATCAATTAGGTCGTTAACATCGGAAAAATAACCATAATCATCACCTTCGGCTTCAAAGAAATCAGGGAGATCCGTAGTCCTACCGTTAAAGTCACAAAGTAGGCAAATATACTTGTTATCCTGTATTTGGAAAGATAAAAGGTCGTTTTCGACGCTTCAAAAAGTTCAGACGAAGAATACTTTGAACTACTGGGAGGTATATAAACTATTCCAAATATCATATGACCATTATATTTAAAAACATCACCCTTCATTTTGAGCCACATAATGTGATTACAATCAATTTCTATAATACTTAAATGTTTCACAGTAAACAACTATGCCACCAGATTTAATAGTGGACAAACATTTTCTGTGTTTACAAAATGCAGTGTAACCTTCAATATCAACAGAATCTGCATTATCAGTCTTAGTTTCAGTAAGACATTAGATCATTATTTGACAGATATTCGGGAATTTGAGTTTACCTACAAGACCATTGACACTAATACTCAAAATGTTAAACTGTTTATGATTGGTACAGACATTGTGGACTCCCTCCACGGCATAGTATGCAGTTTTAACAAAAGTAAGTACACAGATATACAATGATGAGTACACAGCAACAGAGACGTCTGGTGGGGGGAGGGGGGGGGGGGGCTNCAGTCTCTATGATAATCACTTATTTTTCTGAAACTGACCTGAGCAAGTTAACATGCTCCTAAGCATATTCAAAGTCATCTTCCTTATCAAAACATGTGTCAAATATCAGGGGGAACACAATTTGTTCGCCATAAGTCGAATTTCTCCCTAACTCTTTTTTCAGACAGAATCTGTTCGCCCTAATAGGATTCCTCGGAAAAATATATATAAAGAAAACACCAAATAATAACTAGAAACTAGTTTTTGTGAACAAAAACATATGCCTCCATCTATTAGCCAATAGACAAACTTCTGTATAAAAAGTACACAAAGGGCCATATCTCTTTATATAGTGGGGCACCAGATCGGAAGTTAGAATGGGACACACCTATATACTTCCCAAGATACGTAACTATAACAAGTTTGGTCAAAGTAGGTGAAAAAACATGGAAGTTATGCTGTGGAGAAACTTCGGTATTAAAAACAAACAAAGGGCCATTAACTCTATATACAGTTCGTCACGAGACCGGATTTACATGCGAGATATTCCGCCTTTAAGATACTCGAATATGGTAAGTTTGGTCAACGTAGGTGAAATAACATGGAACTTATGCTCCAGGCAAACTTCTGTATTAAACAAAGGGCTATAACTCTGTATAAAGTGGGGCACTGGACCTAATTATAGTGCACTGCACACCTTCTGTGGACGATGCAGGTATACTTTAAGTTTGATCAATATATCTTCAAAGGTTTAGAAGTTATGCTGTGGACAAACTTTGATAACAAAAAAAATCAAAGGGCCATAACTCTGTATATAGTGGGGCACAAAACCCTATTTTAGTGCGAGAGATTCCACCTTCCCCAGATACATACAAAAATGTTAATATGGTAAGTTTGGTCAACGTAGGTGAAATATCAATTCATGGAACTTATGTTACGGACAAACTTCGGTATTAAAATAAACAAAGGGCTATAACTCTGTATATAGTGGGGCACGAAACCTTGTTTCAGTGCACTGCACACCTTCTATGGTTGATGCACGAATTCATCAAGTTTCATAAATATATCTTTAACAGTTTAAAATGTATTGCCCGGACAAGTTGCGATGAGAAGAACCAGAAGAACAATATGTCTCCCTTCATTCGAAGGGGAGACATAATAAGACTTAATGTATGTGCTGAACCCGCTATCGCTATACAATAGTAGATCCTACTTTAGAATCAGGCCATTTCTATAGTTTACTGCTACATTTCAGGATACCATAAACTGAAGTACTCAGGGCTGACAAAAGAGGAAACTCATGTGAAATATATCATTCGTATTATTAAACTGTTATATTATTTTATAAATTCCAAACAACACCTAATGAATTGGTGACACATGTCTTGCTACTTCTTCTGCCTAAAAGTAAATTAAAGCCTGTAGAATCAGATAACCTAACACGATACGCTATGTTTTGTTTAAGCAGTGTTTAGAAGGATACTTATTAACTTTATTGGTATCATAAAATATTTTTCAAAACCATTCTCGTATTATATAATTCATTTATGTGAAAATAATAATATCACATTTCATCATTTAATCATTGGAAATCATACTGAAGGTAGGATTAGGTATAGACATCTCTGTGGTCCTACAGTCCACTGAAGTAACCAATTAACATTCCAAACATTTTTGAATTGTTAAGGCCTTTTCGACCAGAGAGTATTTTCTTCAGGTATTTTTTTTGTGTCATGCTAACATCTCGACGCATTTATTTTAGTTAATTTTTTGTGTCATGGTGTTTTTTTTATTTTGTCATGGTGTTTCTTTATTTTGTGTCAAGCTATAACAGCATGACACATTTATTTTACTCTATTTTTGTGTCAGGCTGCTATCGGACATCGTAGCTAACTGTAAGTAAAATAATGTACATAATATTGTTATTAGCTAACTATAAGTCCAGCGGAAGTTTATCGACAATCTATCATACATCACAAAAAGCCATTGGCTTACCTCGATGTCAACCAGTGATTCAGTGATTCCGTCACTAGGCCTAATATTCATATATTGTTCATATTTTCTGGAGCCTGTAGTCGCACGTACCGCATTACAATGCATGTGTAGAAGTACGGGTTGTTAGGGTGTGTATAGGCCTATACTGGTTTTGTCTGGCATCAGTAATTTAGCGTTCAGTTACGACAAGCACACGTCAGCTCTCTCTCTCGTGTTTTTTTATTCTCACGTGAAAACTTACCTTCCCGAGGCGGCACCACCAGGAGACATCGTTATATACGTATACACAACAGTGTATATACAGTACGTATGTACTGTCAACAATGTGTGTGCGAAAAAGGTCAAGGGTTAATCCGGTGTCCATAGAAAAATATGCACCTATTATAGTTATGTCGCTACATGAAGGTAGCTAGACTAAGCCATTTTCGTTTACTAGTAAAATATAATTTGATACTGCTTTCAGGCGAGCCCTGACAAAGCCTTGCAAAGCCTGCATAAACATTTACATAAATAAAACATAAAACTACATGTATCAGTATTATATGGATTGGTTTTACAAAGATATTTAATTGTAGCAGAGACTATATATATGGCTTTGTATGACTCTGATTGTAGAATACATGTACATAACGTTATATAATTAGTATGTTCGACATGTGACAAATCACGTTCTTTGTTCTGACAGATAGAAATTAAAAGAACTTCAGGTTATATACGGCCTTATAATAAGTTACTAAACTAAATATATGTGGTTGAAAGTGAATATACAGCAGCTGCCACTAGAAGCTTTAATGTAAACCTGCCCAGAGGCTGATACAGCCAATGGTTGTTTGTTCGTTGTCTAGCAAGACGCTAGAAAACAAAAGCATATATGCAATAGGAAGTAGAAAGAAATTTAACAATGGGTACAGCAGGTTTAATCTGTACGCTCTAACGCAAATCCCCGTTCAGTCTGCAGGAGGTAATTACCATATTATAGTCGCCCAGTCGAATTATGCAATGGGTATCCGTTTCTCAATCCCCGACCTGCAAGGACGTATTATTGTGTGCAAATATAAATGCAGTTTATAAAGGAAATGGATCGTCTAATGAAGTTTTAAACTACAAACCTATTTCAGTAAAATTACGAAAAAAAACTCTGTTTCAATACCTGTTGCAGAATTCTATAATCACCAAGCACAAATCTGACTTTACTCCAGGGCCCAGTTGTTCAAAGGGTGATTAGCTAAATCAGGATAGAGCAAATCTTAGTTTTTGTGTATCTTTAAGACTCGGCCTTTGAATTAGTTATAACTTTCTAGATATAAAAAAGTTAATAGAGTGAACATGCATGCAAAATTGTGAGATTTTACCTTGTATGTTGACGAAATTATTAAAGGTTGAAAAATGCCGTTAAACTGTGATTAAGTAATTAACCACCTTAACTTTTAAACAACGGGGCCCTGGTAAGTGATTGTAATATGGACCGGGGTAAGGAGATTATATTTACTTTCTGTGGTATTAGTTAAGAAGTTTTGATTCGGTTTGTCACAATGGTCTAGTTCAAAACTTAGGACATATGGTATTGTTGGTAAATTGCTTCTCTGGTTTGAAAATTATTTAACAGACAGAATGTAAAGGGTTAGCGCTAAAGGATAGGCCTATCACTCTCAATTTAGGACTATAATTGTAGGGGTACCTCAGGGATCTGTTCTGGGGCCACTTCTGTTTCTTCTTAATATTATTGATATTAATATCTATGTTTCTACTAATATTAAACTTTTTGCAGATGACACTTCTCTGTTTGTAATCATAGACAAAAAAAAGCGTTCAGGCAGCCCAGGAACTCTTGAGTGACCTTGCAGACCTTAGTGAGTGGACATAAAAATATTTATATGGGATATAAATTTCAACCCAAATTAACTAAGTCAGTTGTATTTTCTAGAAAACATAACCACGTGCAACTCCCATAATATTTCCAAAATAGTCAAATTACTGATTCAAAAACACATAAACACTTAGGACTAACTTTTACAGACGACGTATCATGGAAACAGCACATACAGATTTTACATGAAAAAAGCATAATAGACAAAACATTCTTCGTTATGTTACTAGTTAAAATAGATATATTGTATTTTTAAGACCAATTTCAAAGTATGCAGACACAGTATGGGGAACTGCACCTCTGTAAAATTAAAAGCGGCTAGGATTTTTACCGGTTTTCTTTCAGGGACATCACACAATAAACTCTACAATGGTTGGGAAACTTTGTCTACATGGCGGTATAAGCATGTATAGGTGATAATACTGTTATGCCGGATGGCTGGCTGTGTTCTTCAATAACAACACAAAGATCGTCCGAGTTTTCAGTGCAACCTTTTAATGGCGGTAAAACTCAACGAACCCCGGATAACGTGCTTCCGCGTCTCACATCAAATCCGGGGACCGGACCCCGATTTCCGGAAGAGGTAAATCCGCATTACACCACCCCTTCCAGGCTCCTTTAGCTCCTGCTAAAGGTCAAGCTTGGTAGGCTGCTTATATGCCCGGCCGTAACGCGAGGACCGGGATGGTTCATCTGAGATGGTTCGCTGTGAACACATCCCAGTTGGCACAGGTGTCTTTGGCTCTTCCTCTGGTAAACTGGCTTTCAGCGATTGTTGGCTGTTCTGCGACTCGTGGTGGTTTTCCTCTGTCCCGAACTTCTTATCCATGGTTGGAAGATGGTCTTCCTCAGCAATCGTTGGGAGAGAGGAGGTACCAAGATCATGCTTTATCTTGGTAACCCAGGCCGGGATGACCTCAGACAAATATTGTTTTAGCCGGTCATGGTGAAGAACTGAAGCCTTCTTGCGGCCACGGACCTCATACACGACCGGACCAAATTTCTTGGTGATCACAAAAGGACCATTCCAAACAGATTGGAGTTTCGGAGATTGTCCAACAGATCGTGATTGGTTCTTCACGTATACAAGATCCCCGACGTGGTACTCTCTTCCCCTAGCCCGTAGATCATATACTTTTTTCTGATGTACCTTTGAAGCCCTCAATGTTTTCCTAGCTAATTCCTCTGTAATGTGCATACCCTCTAACATCCGGTCGAGGTAGGTGGGTGCGTCATCAGAGGAACGCGAAATATCCGGATCCATGTAGATCAGCTCGGGAGGAGAATGGACCTCCCTACCCAGCATCAACAGGTTTGGTGTAAATCCTGTCGCAGGGTGTGGCGTACTTCGATAAGCAGACAGAAGAAGGGGAATGTTCTCATCCCAATGCGCCTGGCCATGATCTAGATAACACCTGATCATCTGCAACAGCGTGCGGTTAAACCGCTCAACCTGACCATTAGATGAAGGGTGATAGGGCGTAGTCCTGGTTTGTGCGATTCCGAGTAACCGGCATACTTCCTTGAACAGGGCGCTTTGGAAGTTTCGTCCTTGATCCGTGTGGATCTCCAGGGGTACGCCAAATCTAGAGATGAACTCCAGGACCAGTTTTTTTGCTGTCGTGTTACTGTCCTGTTGTGTGATTGGGTAAGCCTCGACCCACTTCGTGAACTGGTCGATGATGACAAGTATGTATTTGTTCCCAGCATCACTAATAGGAAAAGGCCCCACGACATCCAATTGTATCCTGTCCATTGGCGCTCCGCAGATGTAGGTCTGAAGAGGTGCTCTCATAGTTCTACTACTCTTCTTTTCAGCGGCACATACATGACATTTCCGAACAAATATGCTCACATCCATCGACATGTTGTGCCAGTGAAAGTCCTTCTTCACTCGTTCCAGAGTTCTCTTCTCCCCTTGATGACCGGAGTAAACAGCTTCATGACATGCCTGCATGATCTCTTTTCTCATCTGGAATGGAACCAGGAGTCGCAGTGACTCCTGTCCATTTGCCTCCCACTGGTAGTAGAGAACATCGTGTATCAGTTTGAACTGCTGAAGGGTTAGTAGATACTTCCGCAGAGCAGGACTTCTTGCTTGCGCCTCACCCAGAGGAACTGTCTCGCTGTTGGCCACACATGAATACAGTTGTTTTAGATCCTCATCTTGCATCTGTTCTTCGTGAAGTTCCATCGGACTTTTGGTCTGTAGCCAGTTACATTGAGGAATATCGTCCTTCGTATTAGAGTCCTCTCCGGTCTCAGAGTGTTTTTCGACAGCAGTTACCTCCGCCGAACGAACAGCTATAGGCACAATATCGTCAACATCCTCCTCGAATCTTTCCCACGCAGTCTGTAGTTTTGCACAGTACATACATCCTCCACAGGGTAGAGTTTCAACGGTGGCACCCGCGAAGTAGCAAGGGCACGAATCGTGATCCGGAATCCGTGACATGGCATCAGCGTTCACATGCAGCTTCCCAGCACGGTGTTCGATGTCAAAAGAGTATTGACTGACCTCCTCTAGCCATCTCGCCAGCTGTCCCTGTGGTGACTTGAATCGGAAAAGCCATGACAAACTGCTATGGTCTGTGCGTAATAAGAACCTCCGGCCAAGAAGATAATGTTTGAAATGCTGGCAGAAAGCAACAACTGCAAGAAGTTCGCGTCGTGTCACACAATATTTCTCCTGTGCAGGGGTCAGTCTTCTACTTGCATATGCAACAACTTTCTCCTCCCCATCTTGGACTTGCGAAAGAACGGCGCCTATACTCCTGTTAGAAGCATCCGTATCTATGACAAATTTGCAATTCTCCAACGGGTATGACAATATCGGAGCAGTGGTAATTGCCTTCTTCAGGGCCTCGAATGCCTCACACTGACGGTCTTCCCATACAAATTTTACCTCCTTCCGTGTGAGGTCATGCAGTGGCAGAGCGATCTCTGCATAATTTTGAACGAACCGTCTGTAGTAGTTGGTAAGTCCTAGAAAAGACTGAAGCTCCCTACAGTTGCTTGGCACAGGCCAATTCAGGACGTCATCTACCAACTTTGGATTGGTGGAGATTCCATCACCGTTAATAATGTGTCCCAGGAAGAGGACTTCCTCACGAAACAAACGGCACTTCTTGGCTTTCAGCTTCAGACCGTGTTCACGGATCCGGGAGAAAACCTGACGCAGATGTTGCATATGTTCTTCAAAAGACCTGGATGCCACTATCACATCGTCCAGATAAATAAGAAGTATGACCCACTGAAACCCTCTAAGTACGAGCTCCATTGC